CATTGACAAGAACAACGAGTACAGATTGTATTGAGGAATATAAATTTAAAAAGTACCATGATTTACAGTACTTAGCTATATATATAGCCTTAGTTTAACTGAAGAAGCAGCTCATGAGTTGTGAGGAAGGTAGACCAACATAAGGTCTTTGTGTATGCCTGCTAGCTATTATATGAATATTATGTGACTACATGTATAAGGCATGGAAAATGGACTTCAGGAAGACTGAAAATTTTTAAATTTTCAATCTTCCTGAAGTCCAAGTATTGAGCTAATCACCTGAATGACCTCAATCCAGTGCTTTGGCTGAAGATTTACATCCAAACAATAAAGGGTTTGCTTCTCTATGGTTAAATAGTGGTCAATGTAATCTACCGTGAACTATATTGGGCCAAAGCAAGTAATTTTTATGGTTGACATCAGCGCACGCATTGATTTTCGCTTGATTTTGGAAAAAAAACAAGACGAAATGGGCAAAGATGTCTGTTGCTATGCCAGAAGGTGAATGGCAGATAACTATGAAGAGAGGAGGCTAGAAAAGGCTCTGAATTAATGTTTTGTTTCCTACTTTGATGCAGTGATATGTGATGTTGGCTGTGTATATGTGATGTTCCCATTGAATAAAAACCATTTGTACAATGATTGAGTCAAAATTTTGAAAATTTATGTAGGAACGTTGTTTTTTTTCGGCCCGCCTTGTTTTTTTATCTTTTTTAGATATGGAGTCGGTGGAGGATGTCATCCATAAAATTTACTTGCTATGGCCCTACTTTTGCTCAGACAACATGCAAGACAGTCTCAGAAAAACTGAACGAATTACTGAGAACATCCCAGGATGGTGTATAAACATTACAGGACTTTAGCTGCAGGCTAGACATGTGCAGGCATGTGGTCTAGCCGCAGGACTTCTACTCAAGCACCTGACACACCTGACTATCCCACAATGCCTTCCAGGCTAAATTCTCATGACACAATGGTATGTGGAACATGTTAAGATTGGAACTTTCCATTGCATATTAAGGGGGGGGGGCATCATGTACCCTGTGGTAATCATCATATAAGCACCAGGAGATGCTATGAAGGAAATGATTAGGTAATCACCGTATTAGCTCTGAAAAAGACATGATAAGCTAAACTGAACTTTCTCTTGCAAAATGGGAGAAACCATTGTGACTGGCTGAAGCATACCTGGACACATCAAAAATTACTAAAATTCAAGCTGGGACAACTAAAAAGACAATTTGATTTTTTTGGAACAATAGAAGAGACTTCAAGTTCACTTCCTGAAAAACAGGTTAGGACAGTTCATCCTCACTTCGGGACAATTGAAATTTATTTACGGGACAGTGCTGGGACAATAGGAAAAAAGTTAATTTTGAATTTGAGGCATGCATGGAACTAGGTAGGTAGGTAGGTGAACTAAAAAAATGAGTATTGGAAGCCACAAACAAAAAGGGGGTCCAACTACAAGAATATTAATAAAAGAAACATAATAAGAAAAAGGAACAAAATATTTATCTTGCTCTTGAGACCACTGAGATCACATTTATCTTCTCAACACTCTCCAAGGACTTCTTCAGTGATTCACTGAAGATTTCTTTAAATTCTACCTGAGTCTACAAGACAGGCTAGACCCTTGAGAAGGCAAATTGGTAAATCAATACAAAGGAGCACCTCTTGGATGATCTAGTAAGGCTATCCAAAATAATTTCAATGAAATCAAAGAGAACAGGACTGGACAACTTCAGGTGATGTTCTGTCAATTTGAACAGAAGAGTCTAATTTTTTCAAGTCCTCCATATGACAAACAAACGGGGCAGCAAAATCTTTTGATAATGCCATACCAATTTACTAGTAATTTGTTGGTTCTCAGATTTTTTCACAAAAAATATGAAGCGGCAGGGCGAAAAAAAATAAAACTAAAAACAGGTCTAGGCATCTATTACATGTATAGCCCCAAATGCTACGATAGGAGCCATGAAGTCAACACAAAAGGCTGGGTTAATATTTCAACAATGAAAAACACTGCATTGATAGATGGAAAAACTGTAGCATATAGGAAGAAAAGGACTTTCCTCAACTGTTGGGGGGGGGTAAAATATGAGCATTTTTTAGTTGATTCAGAACCAGAATCCTTTTATTTTTCTTGCAAATCAGAAAAAAATGAAGAGGTGAATCCGTGAACCAACAAATTAAATTGGTGTGGCCTAAATTAACACTTGGCTATAGTATACAGGTCTCCTGCTGTGGGGAAACCTTACAATACACAATACTCACTCACCCCCCTCCCCAGTCACAGCCACTTGTAAACTAGAAAACAATGGAGGCTGGATTGACTACAGGTTGCCAAGCTTCTCTATAAATACTGCCACAGTAAACACAGGCACAAAGGGAAGGCATACTGTGCTGATGTCCAAGTTCCAGTGGTAGAATGTAGAGGCTCAACATAATGAACTCTTAATAATTTCTCTGCCAAAAACAATTCTAAAAGTAGAACATTGTCATATATCCATCTATGTCTTGCTAGTGGTAAGATTTGAAGGAATAATTGTAAAAGCAAAGCTATATATGTCTAGGGTACGAGTGGGGAGACAACACAGAGTGTTGTCTTTTCAAATTCAAGATAGGAAAGTTCCAATGGTAGAATGTAGGAGTTCAACATACCGGTAATGAACTATTGATAATTTCTCTGTCAAAACAATTCTAAATTGCCATATAGACATCTATATCTTAGTAAGATTTGCAGGAATATTCAAAAGCAAAGCTATATATGACAGAGTACGAGTTGGGAGGACAAGACAGAGTGTGACATCTTTTCTGTCAAGTTTGTCCAGTTGTAAGGATGCTGCTTTGCTAGCCTATTTTCAAAATGTTTTAGCAATGGAAAGCCTATACTGATTCTTTTCACCTTCTCGTCTTCTGACACAACAAGGCTGAGGGTTCTAAGGAAACCCAACTAGAACTACAAGTCTACAGAAAGATTAGAGTTAGAAGGCAACAGCTAGATCCAGGGTGCACCTGTGAACTCATGGCAAACAAAATGACTCATGTACAGGTATCCAGCAACTGATGTTTTAATTGTAGGTCCTCTAAATATTAAAAGATAAACTGTGTTTGTATGGAAAAAGTGTAGAAGAAGTGCCTGTTTCTAACAAAAATCTTTACTTGCTTTAGAATCTGCAGTTTCATGAATGTGGCTGAGTTTGTAGATAGCATGGAAGGTATGATATGTGTTGTGACAGGTAAAACACTATGGAACTCCAAAATGCTCACAGAAAATTCACTTGTCTGGCACATAGCCCCTTTCCTGTATTATAATGCTGAACTACTATTATGGAAAAAGCTACAGTACAGACTACATCAGTGCAGTCTGCATAAACAAGGCAGACAAATTGTTTGCCAGCAGTTTCTATAGGAACCCACAAAAGACTCATAGAAAAGAACATAAGAGAATCTTTGAAGAGTTTGATATTCACACACATACAGATACTCTCACTATCCTGTAATCTTCTTTTGGCCCCGGTCTTCCAAGGGTTACACATGCTTGTAAAACATTTTTAAGACATTGCTACATAAAAAGCTGTATCTTGCAAACTGTGCAGAAAATAGTAGAACAGAAATGGCTGTTGAACATTAGGATTGGCACACGAAAAATTGCTAAATTCAGGCACAAACAGTGCGTAGTCGGATATGAAAAGGATGGTTTTGATTCAACAGTTTGTTTTGAGGATTTTGCACCAGTGTGGCATCTATGACTGAGTCTGACCGAGCTATGCAAGCTACACAGATTGCAGACCCAAGTATTCGACATTACATCAGAAATTTTTATGTGAAACAAAACTTTTATAACGTCATATCATCTCATAATAAAAGTTCTATATGCTTGGAACTGAATTTGGGAAAAAACGGGGAAATCTGTGCATCAGCCCGTGCCTTGAATTGTTTTACTGAGAGAACATGGTGGAAATTGCTGGAATCTATTTGCAGGACATGTTTCTACAGTCAGAGTGACACCACCGCTGACTTTGAGTTAGTGCAGACTTGTGATCTGTGTGCAAAAAGAAGCATACTTGCATACTTGAAAATCAATCGCGGCAAAACATTTTTTAAGAGATTGCTACAAAAAAAGCTGTATCTTGCAAACTGTGCAGAAAATAGCGTAACAGAAATGGCTCTTGAACATTAGGATTGGCACACGAAAGAGTCAAAATTTTGCAAAGAGCAAAACAGTGGTTTGTTGTTTATTTACCTGTAGTTTGTAATCAACAAACAGCCAAGTAAAGCCTAAAATCCAAAACAGTCTACATGTATATGAACAGTCAGTAAATTATAAATCAATGGCATGAAAATGATCATGTCAAAAAGAAGGAGTTGGAAAGAGAAAACTGGACGAGCCAAGTGTCTACAACAGATCTAGATTTGTGAACAAAAACACAGAACTACCCTGGAAAAAAAGAGAACCACATTATATTTAACTAAATGACAGCTAAAAGCATCGTCTACTAACAACTCACAAATTAGATCATTACACCCTAGAACAGATCAAACTCAGCTCCATGAATAAAAACTGTATAAAATTGTGCTGCGAATTTGCGATTCTTGGGAAAAGACAGAAAAATACCCCGAGTCAGGTGCATCTGACCGCTTGGCTTCCGCAAAAAGTCGACAAGAAAAGAGAAAGTACGCTCATTTTGAAGACGTGACAATGTTTCAAACCAATCGGGAAGATTACAAAGATGCCAACGCCTAGAAGATCAGGAGAATCCGACGGAGAAATGTGCCTAAAAGGCATGAAAATTATAGAAATCCGGCCTTGATATCTCCCGAGAAAGCTTTCAGCGGCAAAAAATGAAGTTGTGGGAGCGGAAAAGTTGCTAAAAGTGCGAAAGTACGGAATTTGTGGTGAAGCGAGAGGGGAGAAAATATGGCTGCCTGGATGTAACCAAAGCCAGACTTGATGTGGCAAAACAAAATGGAAGGCAGAATTTAAACAAGGCCACCTTCCACACAATCTGGGCAGGAAAGGGCGACCAGCAGCGGTCATGGTCCAAGGCACCACTCCAAAAACTACGCAAACAAAATGCAACAAAAGTTGTCACAAAGTAAGCCAAAAGTAGCGAAGACGAGCCCAAAATTGGCGAGGAATCGGGCGCAGATCGTCTGGCAAGGAAATGGAGGACACATCTCCCCACGCCCCGCTTCGGACAGACCTTTCATATTTTTAACAAGAAATGGTTATAAATTAGGCGAGGCGAGAAGAAGAAAATCGAAGCAAAAATCGGCCAAAATTCGCCGAATGAATGAAAAATTGGGATCGTCGCAGTCGTCGAGGCGGATTTGAGTCAGATTTGGGGAGAAGTTGTGGATTTTGGTGGGGTTTGGAGGTGGCAGTCGGCTGGTGGGCACATTTGTAGGATAATGGCGACGAAGTGTTGTTTGGGAATAATAGGAAACGAGCGGGCAGCGGGATTGAGCGGATCGTTCGGCCCCGGGGAAACAAGGAGCCGGTCCCCCGCCTGAAGACACCTGAACGTCACGCACGGGGGTGAACAACGCTCAACAACACGCTAAAAACTACAAAACTCTAGAAAAAATTAGCGAAAACCGAGAGTTTGGGAGGTGAGCAAGGATCGGCAAGGGGAAAGGGAACATGGCTTCCATGTCGGTTCTTTGTGTAAAATGGGCAGACGGCAGATAATTTTGTCCGACCGATGGGGGAGAAATCGCCAAATCACCGCCGACCTGCGCCTACACACGTGCAGGAAAAATACACAAAAGCTCTCTCTGAACCAAACTATGGCAAAAACTGCGAGAAAGTGGGTAAAATTAGCGCGTACTTACCACGGGAGTCGGGCCGGCGGATTCGGGAGGGAATTGTAGCAGGTTGAGGGCGCATGTGGCAGCTAGCGTGGTGACGTCACGCCAGCAAAACTAACAATGGCGCAGCCGACACTTGGGGACAACAACATCCTCAACACCCAAAATATTTACAAACCGCCCGTTTTCTCAGCTAAAAATCACCCCAAATGTACAGAAAATATTATAGGACACGGGAGAAGTGGAAACTTTGGTTTCTTGTGTCTGTTTATGTTAGGAAACGGTGACTTTTACTGGGTAAACAAACAGTGGGACGGTCCGCACTAGAGCACAACAACACAACAGGGAGCCGTAAATATAAACAAACCCGAGTTCTGTGTTAGTTATGTTTATAACACTCCATGACATGGTCATGAAAGATTGATTATATTCTGTCGATATCTCTATAATCACCTATAAGCTTCATTGCCACAAAAAAGGCAAATTTTGACTCTCGGAAACAACATAACAACATGGCGAAAAATAAACAAGTTTACTGTATGCGGCATATCCTTGCGTCCCACAATATACAGAAAAAATTAACGCGCATCGTTTGTCAACACAATATCACTCTTACTTCGTAATTCTCTTACGTTACTTTGTTCTTTTTGCAATCTTTGTTAATGATGACTAAAAAAGTGTTATCTAAGTTCAATTAATATTATGACATTATACACAATTTCTTAACCCCTTGTAGAAAAAAAAGAGCATTCTTGATGACATCTTTGTAACTGAACAGTATCTCTTGGCGGGATGAATGCTCTCCGATAAAATGTGGATTGCGCTGCGCACGGCCTCTACATAATTGATTTTCCAAAGCGGGGAGAGGAGCCATCGCGACAAGCGGGGTCCACAGCCTTCAAATCTGGGTTATGTTTCCGACCAGGACCGCCCTAGGGAAGCGCTAAACCAATCGCCGTACCGATATACATACCCAATAGGCTGGAAGGCGGCGATTAAATGGTAGGACAAAGGGACATGGACGGTATAATTAACATTAATCAGTATTTTATTTTTAAAATACATGTACTGCACAGTTTAACTTTAAGCACGTTCTCAAAAACATTTCCAGATCATTGCTCATTTATATCACGAAAACGTTGCAGATAAAATAGGTAAAATATAACCGTATGGTAATCGTAAAATCGTCACATGTAGCCAAGATGATCTTCCGGAGGTTTCAACATGTTTGAACATGAGATCTTGGACTGAAGTCTGGGCTACGCACCATGCACCAAGGCAAACGCAGCACAATCGCACTTGAAACGATGGAAATGTGTCACGGTAATTATGGACGCTACCATTTTGACGTGGTGGCACTTTTAGTCATAAAGTTAAATTGGACGTAAGTAGATGAGCTTTAACATGGCTAGTTCATGGCAGCAGCAAAGGTGATAATATATAACAGTTATATATACATAAATTAATTCATTGCTTTATCAATAAGTGTCTGACAGGAAGTCTTATGTGTAACATTTTTGCTCTACTTTCAAGCACCTCCCCAACCCGAAGTGGAGCGTGACACAGTCCAGCCAACAGCAACGATATGGGCCAGGGACAATCCATTTCACTTGAACTGAACTTGCGGAGTTCTGTTGTAGTCTGCCCTTTTGGAGTTCTGTTGTTCACACCTAGCATGTTTTTTTATGTTCTTATCTTTTAAACTTTGCTCGCAGTTCAGCATAGCCAGCAAAAATCCGTACACTGATCCACATAACCGATTGCCACCAGAGCCAAGCATATCTAACGGTTTGTCCCCCTCCTTGCCTGTCAGTCAAGAGTAATACAATATCAATGTAATCATGATTAGCGGACAAAACGCATGCGCGTGATCGATTTGACCTGTAACCCTGGACGGTACCATTGTTGATATAGGCCAGGGGTCTCTGAAATCCGTATAGAAGAGCTCCAGAGATATTGATACTGATTGGATATAGCAGTAAGGCCATGTTGATGTAATTATATGGATGACATCCACGCGCATGAATTTTTGGCCGTTTCAAAAAAAAAAAGGGTTTCAACCATACAAATTACAAAACAGTTGCAAAATGAGCAAATATATACCGTAGGTTAAAAAAAACATTGGAAAACGATACCAATGTCGTAGAATGCCAAAATCAAACGAAAAAGACAAAAATGTACAGAAATGAATTTAAAGACTAGATTTTTCGCCAAACCATACTCATTTGTGTCATTTGTTAATGTTCAACCTTCAAAACCACGTAGATTTCATAACTTTTTTTTTTTTGCCAAACTTTTTTTTATTCGCACGCTCGCATCAGTTTTGGGGTTCCCAGAGAATGTCATCCATGGATCAAATCAACATGGCCTAACTTAGGCACTGGATTGTTAGTGACGTCCGTAAAAAATCTGTCAGAGTTCACTGGGGCGGACCCCTAAAGTTTATCTACAATTGTGGTGGCGTATTTCAATCTCTAAGCAGATGCAGGGCCATGTTGCTTTGATTATATGGATGACATCAACTGGGAACCCCAAAACTATCGATGCGAGCGTGCAAATTATAAAAACAAGTTTGGCAAAGAAAAGGGTTGCCTTCATCATGAAATCTACGTGGTCATGGAGGTTGAACAGATGACTAAAAACACACCGAGTATGATATGGCGAATAATTAATAGAATCTTTATTTTCATTTCTTCACATTTTCTTCTTTTCCTTTGGAATTGATTTTAGCATTCTAATTTCTAAGAGGATCATTAGTATCGTTCTTCAATATTTTTTTTTTGCAATTTTCGGTATATATTTGCTCATTTTTGCAGTTGCTTTGTTTTTTTTTTCATATACTGTACTATATATCAAATCATATACTATATATCAAATCAACATGGCCTTAGGTTGAAATATTACTCATTTGATACTTGATACTTTTACTCATTTTACACGTTTTAAGTTATACTGCAGTGTTTTCATAAACCTAATCCTGTTTTGTTTTGTTTCAGAATGTTACCTGTCTCCAAACAGCACCCTGTTACTCTGCTATCAGTGGTCCCTTATCCTTTACCCAAAGTGCCTGATTTCACACTTTGATTGACTGACACACAAACTTCATGTCTGACGTTTCCTCATTACTGACAAGATGTGGGATAATAACCTATTAGTGCGTTCCCCTGCTCAAGGGTGACTTTATTCTTCTGCAAATGCCATGTTCTATCCCCGCCATGTTTGACCTTGGTTCTATCTTATTTCCAAGCAGATGTTGGGAGGCTAAATCATAACGTTTTTTTTTTTTCTTTTTTTTTCTACCTGCCTGCTTCTGTCACAAGCCGTCTGCCTAATAGTTGGGACTTGGGACCTGTGACCGGTACAGAAAACTTCGTGCAGCTGGGAAAATGCCGCGGTATAGCCTCCCAACATCTGCTTATTGATATGGCCACACCAAGTTAATTTGTTGTTTCTCGGATTCACCCTGTCCATTTCTTTCTGCAATTAACTGCGAAATGCTCAATGAAAGACATATTTTGGTCTAGTAGTAGGTCACCATTTCCACAACCAAGTTCGGTCACAACCGCAACCCGATTGCTACTGTTGTATCCATCCGCGCTAATGGCAGGAATGATGCCAAGTCATAACAAAAAGTAAACCAACACACCCAATTTTTTAGATCCAACTTAGATTATATAATCTTATTGTCTTAGATATGTTAAAATCCTTACATCAGAAGGGAGAATATTTCTTTTAACATTTCTAGTAGAACACGATTCTTGACAGAGGTTCCCATTTTCTTGAGAACGCAAATCAAGCAATCACAGGATCATTCCTCCCATGCGTTCGAACTCATGTTTACTTCGGTTGTCATGGACACAGGTTCGAATTCTACACATTCGGCAAGTTTCGTGCTCACGAACCAGGTGGGAAAGTTTTCTTTCTCCTGTTTTAGGTGAAAAATCCGGCGAAAAAACACGCAAATCTCAGTCATATCTTACGCGTGGGTGCTACTAACATGTCATTACGGCCGATAGACAGTCCAAAAGTGTTGATATCTGGCGAAATGAAGCACAAAAACTTCGCAGAATATTCTAAACAATCTGGCCATCGCAAGGTCACATAAGAACTCAAGGTCATAGTCGCTTGTAAGGAAATTTTAGGCGTACGGGAAGAGAGTAAAGTCTTTGGGGGTATTTCTGACATATTGTAGACACTTTGTAGTGTATGTAGACGTCTTGCCGCCAGTGGAAACCATCAAATCATTTACTTTTTTGTGGATTTATTTGATGACCTCTGTAGGTGTTCTGTTTGAGAGCGACTGTACCGTCTTACCGAAAAAAATCGACACGATGTCTTCCCTGCGCAAGATGATGACCGTGAACGATTTGAGTCAGTTAGAGGTGAGTAGGGCCTACATAGTTTGATGATAAACTGATACACAGATTGTTCAACTTTGTTCACTGAACAACATTTGGGTGTAACCTCTCGGAAATTTTTCAAATCAAACTTCATAGTACGACCGGGTCTTCATAGGACGGGGTAAATGAAAAGTACAATTATGTATTCACTATGATTCACTAAGGCCATGTTGATTTGATTATATGTATAACATCCGCACACGCACGGATTTTCGTCTGTTTCTAAAAAAAAGTTTTCGACCATACTGTAAATTGTACACTGTAATACATGGCGAAGATTGTCAAAAAATATTGGAGAACGATACAAATGTGTTAGAATGCCAAAATCAATTCCAAAGGTAAAGAAGATTTAAAATGTGAAGAAATGAAAATAGATGTATCAATATATTAAATGAATGGATTTCATTTTGTTTTGTTGCTCTTATACATGTATTATTACTTATTTTTTATGTCCCTTTTCTGCTCACTGTAGACTCAGGAAAGTGTTGACTTGAGCTTGTCCACCCTGAGAAAACTGACGAATGGGAGTGATGAGGGGAAGTTGAAGGTAAGTTATCATTTCAACAACATTTATGGCCAGTCAGAAGTCAGATGTTATACCAGTTATCATCAAACTAGTCAGTGTATTCTCTCATCTTCACCAGCCTGAATGGTTTGAAATCTCAAGTTTCCCCTGGTCAAAATTTAAATCTTAACACTCAGGACATTATCAATAGAATTCTATTTCAGCAGCCTGGGTAAAGCAAATTATTCTCCTCTCATACTTATCATATACGTTCTACTCATTTTGTATTAAACTATCCATATGTTCACCCTTTTATATGTTGCTTTCTTTGGTTCTGTGTGTTTAGCTCTGCTTTGTTTGTTTGCTTTGTTAATCTTATCGTGTTCCTTCTCCTAAATAGCCCGGGCAAGAGGGTGATGCAGCCAGCTTGTTTAGCGAGTAAGAACTGTTTAGTTGGGTTTAACTATTAACTAACAATCTTCAGAACAGTTAGAACATGAGAGGGGGGATCCTTAAGCTATATTTAAGGTACAGAAGCCAGTCTGTTGTATATAGTGGGAACACCTGTTACGTAGTGTATGTGGGAATTATCAATATGACTGTTGACTTACTAGTAGGTTACAAAGTAGGTTGCTGCATTCTCTGCACATTCTATCTGTACAGTTATCTTGTTGTTCAAAACCTCTTTCTACATGTTTCCTCTACAGATCAGCTAACATGAGCAAACTGGTCGGAGGTTATGAGGCCATGGCCAGTCAGTCACATGGTGTCAGCAGTGGGATCCCCACACATGCACTACCAGGAACTGACAGAGCTCTGATCAGGTACTTACAGCATCATTTCAATGTGCCTTGTAAGTTCATTCTTGTAGTCTGAATGATTCTAACACCAATAAACTTTTCATCTAATCATTAATCATTTAATCAAATTCAGTGGTTAGAAGATTTAACCATTCCTCTACATATCTAAGAATGATGACAATATAGTATTACAATGGTCTTTCTTCTGCCGTTATCAGTCAAAGGCGACCTGCATGCCCTATTTCATAAAGTGTAATCAGGCCTTTTTAGGCTCCGTAATCCGTAGGCAGCCTCCCCAGACTTTGACGTAATTCGTAATAGTACATTAGCTGCAAGGCGTAAAGTTGTAATCAGCTTTGAGACTTTATCGTAATTTGTAATCATGTCCCCCCATGCAGGACCTCGTTAAAAACCAGTCTAGTGACTGGGGGAGTGAAAAGTAGCCTGAACAACAGAGAACATTCTTGAGCGATTGCTTGTAACAGCTCCTAGGGAGGGTTAATAATATATTGTGTAATTAATTTTGTCTTTTTTTCCCAGCCTCCCACCTTCTGTCCAAGGGGTCAGGGCAGAGTTGGAGCAGCTGACAGAACAGCCCACCTCCACCCCCTCAGCTGCCGGTGTGGTTACCGGTACACCACCACCAAAACCACCCAGGCTTCACCATGGAGAATCTGACACAGGCAAAACCACTGACAACCCTCCTGTCCCTCCACCAGACCCTGCCAGATGTGGGTACTTTGTGCTGTACAGACTCCACAACGGAGAGTGGTACCGCTTCCTGGCCTCTGATGATCACATCCTGGAGGAGCTGTTTGGTGACGGTGAGGAGTTACACAGGCTGTATTTCCACTGTGAGGCAACGGCGAGAGATGGAACCCTACCAGTCGGCAGGCTGGACGCTATTGACGACCTGCCGGTACGTGGCCTGACGTCCTCAGAGCTGTTAGATGTCGTGACCACGTCGATGGATCCTGATTTCTGGATCAAGCCGCTGGAGTTCAAACTGATCACACTGGAGGACCTGACCAGTGAGGATCAGCTTCCTACTGATGATGAGGAGACAAGTGAAGATGAGGAGGAGACAGAGGAGAACGGTGACAGTCAGCAGCAGGTCCGCCCTGTCAGGAAGCGGGGACGTCTGGCCGCTTTCTTCTCACGCTGCCGCAGAGCTTTCACCTCATGCTGGCGCCACTGAATATCCAGCAAAGACATTCTCTATTAATATAACATATAGACATAATATATAGATTTGTAAAACAAAAGGAAACTCGAAACACCAACTTGGTGCAAAATGGTTATTCAGGACAAGCAAAGCTCATGAGTCATTGTCAAATGATGCTTATACTTTTCATCTGAGCTTTCTGCACATGAAAAGATTTTAATAGCACCTGGCAAAATACACTCAGGACACATTAAAAAGTGACAGTTGTATAAACTTATATTGTATGCCAGGAATGATTACAATTTGTTTTAAATGTACATGTATTTTAAAAGAGGACTACTGTGGTATACAATGTATGCATGAAATTATTATAGATTTTATGCACAAGATGTTTTTGAAGAACAAGATCAAATTGTGTCTTCTGAAGTGCAGAGTGAGCTGTGTTGTATCATATTGAGTTATGACTGACATTACAAAGCGAATTGACCTTGGTAACAAACTTTCCTTGACAATACAAGCTTTATTGCTCTGATGTAGAGCTCTGCTAACAGTGCCCTAGGCATCTAATGTGATTTTAGAGCAGCAAAACTGGAAATATTCTGAATAAGGCAAATAGGCAATCTTTTATGATATTGAAACATATTCCATCACATATGCACATTTCAATCAGTATTTTATACTTTGAGTATTTAAAACTGCAGAAACAAGCCCCAAGATGAGTCCTTTATTTTATGGGTGGTACCCTAAAAATCAGCCCAGGGCCCATCCATTAACCATTTTCCATCAGAATTTTGGGTATTTTTGCTCCATGGGGATCAATATACATTGGGATAGTTTGGTTTCAATTCAGTATGTAGATAAATGACTAGAAATAGTAGAATATTGACTTTGCAAAACCGAGTTTCCACGCTCTAAAAACTGCATTGGATGCCTCTAACACCTGTTCCTTCCACTTTGATATCTTAATCCGCCATTACACCCCGGCCAATGGAATCTGGACATTCCTCTAGAATTGGTGCATTCCTCCAGGAAAGCCGACATTCCTCCACTTTCAAGCGTACATTCCTCCGGAATCGGTACATTTCTCCGCGGAAGGCGACATTTTCGCCGGAGACCCGCGGAATCGGCCGTTAACCCGACAAATAGTTTCCAAGTTCATCAGAATCACATCAGATTAGAGTCAGATGGGATACAGTCAGCTCGGGAGGTAACGTTAAGCATAGTTTGTGATGGGTTTACGGAAAAAGGAGTCCAGTCCGATTGGCGGAAAAAGCAGTTCAGTCCGATTTTGGGGTGGAAAAAGCAGTCCGGTGGTTTCTACGAAATTTTACGAAAGACCATAGGCACATTTTTTTCTTGTGTGTGTACTTCTAGTTTCTATGGGTACTTCGAGTTTCTATGAGTACTTCGAGTTTCTATGGGTACTTAGAGTTTGTATGACTATTTAGAGTTTGTATGGGAACTTGAATTAGCATATATGTGACTCACTATATGCCGCCTTAACCCGTAATTCAGGCAGCCTTGGGTGAGGAATAGCGGACAACCGATTTACACCTCTTGGGACCACCGAAAAGTAGTTTCTATACATACAGGTCACCTATCCACAATAAACAAAAGTTAATTATTAAGGGATTCTTTCTTACAATTGTACTTCCGGTACTTACATGCTTGTCGGTGTAATGCAAAGTCTGCCATATGTGGCTTTAGCAGGGGCCGACTGGATGTTGGGCAGCTGGCAACCGTAAAGCGATTTAATCAGGCTACTTACAAGCAGGATCGGCCCTGGAAATCTCGTCAGTTGACCGCTTCATCTTTTGACTAATTATTATTACTTATATGTAAGTAATAATCCGGAGGCATGATGATGATATGTAAGTTACAAACTCTAAGTTCCCATACAAACTCTAAGTACTCATAGAAACTCTAAGTACCCATAGAAACTCGAAGTACTTATAGAAACTCGAAGTACTCATAGAAACTCGAAGTGCCCATAGAAACTAGAAGTACACATCCAAGAAAAAATTGTGCCTATGGTCTTTCGTAAAATTTCGTAGAAACCACCGGACTGCTTTCTCCACCCCAAAATCGGACTGGACTGCTTTTTCCGCCAATCGGACTGGACTCCTTTTTCCGTAAACCCGTTTGTGATTGACTCAGACTTTTCTAAAGCATTTATTGACAAATTAACCACACTTAGGTCCGAAACTATGGATATTGTCCAAAATCTACTTCCTCTTACCTCTACCAAGATTAGTCTAGGACAACCACTGAAACGAGATGTTCTCGGTGCACCAAAGACCACACTGTTCCCAAGAGTCACCGGCCTGGGAATTAAAGACGGATACTGCAATACCGACGTTGGCCACAAGGCGGCGCTTGTTTAAGAGGACCCATCTGTGGATGTCTCCGTGCGTGGAGTATCGCCTCTCGTGACCGTTGAAGTATAAAGCTATATTATATAATAGGTTTGGTAAACTAGGCTACTTTGGCGTCACAGTGATGTGTGGACATTTAGTGTTCCCCTTGGGAGGTACAGCAACTTCATCATCATCATCATGGCTGCCGCTGACCAAGGAACGCACGCCAGCTCAGTTCGTCCTCGTTCCTACCAAGACGAGAGCTATCTGCCCGGGTTTCTTGGAGCTGTGGGTGACTTACAGAAGGAAGGGGAACTGCAGGATGTCATCCTTGAAGTCGAGGGCCGGCGGTTTCCCTGCCATCGGCTTGTTCTGTCCGCGGCCAGCCCCTACTTCAGAGCCATGTTTACAAGCGACATGGCGGAAAGTCGGCAGAAGACGGTCGTTTTACAGGGTTTGGATGCAGAAATGTTTGGGGAGATCCTGAGTTACACCTACTCGGGAACCCTCCACGTGTCCCTGGACAGTGTGCAGCCCCTGTACCAGGCAGCCGACCTTCTGCAGCTGGACTTTGTGAGAGACACCTGCAGCAGCTACATGGCCATGAACGTGGAGCACTCCACCTGTGTGGACCTGTACAAGTTTGCTGATGTCTTCACGGTGGATGTTCTTCTGAACCGTTGTCTGCAGTATATATGTCAGCATTTTGTGGAGGTTACCTCTAGTGAGGAGTTCTGCAGCCTGAGTGTGGATCAGCTGACTGAGATCATCAGCCATGATGAGCTGGATGTTAAAGAGGAGACAAGAGTGTGGGAGGCTGTGGTGAGATGGGTGCAGCACAACAGTGAGGACAGGTGGGCATCACTATGTTTATGTTTACATTTTGTTTTTGCACAGTTTATTCTTCTCTAAACAGTGACCTCTGACCTGGTCAGTGACCTGAACCAGACTGTCTCTCACCATGGTAAATGGTGTTGGGTTAGTACATAATGTTAACATTGCAATTCTATAGTAAGAGAGATTTAAATTCCTGTCACCATATAATGTGAATAATTTGAATAAGAATTAACAGAGCAGACCATATGCAAAGGTAAACATTATGCAGTAGTTTTGCAAATGTGACTTTTAACTTAGCTAGCCAATACTTACATAATATTACTGAAGAAACCCCATACTATTGGTGACATGCACATGGATGTTGATTTTGGACTGTTTAGTCAAATGATTCAACATCCCAGTATTTTCTGCGGTGATGTAAAAATATCACCCAAAACTCTGGCTTCACCCTGTACCCTACAGACTGCAGCATCTACCCAGCATCCTCCCTCACATCCGCTTCAACCTGCTGACCTCAGAGGACACGGCAGCCATCTTGGAACATCCCCTGGTCAGGGAGGATCCTGGGAGTTCTGAATCTGAGGTCATCAGGAATGCGGTACAGAGGAACCCCAACCTGAAGCCGAGGCTTGGGATGACCACGGAAATGGTTCTGCTGTCTGATAGCCTTAACGGAAAAAAGATGCTGTGGATGAACCCAGGAGAAGGGAAGTACGTCAGGTGTGACTACAACCTACCAGTATCTACATATAATGGTGTGGTTACACACGGTAATGAGATCTATGTCTTAGCTGCAGATTCACACAACATCTATCTGTGTAAATACAACCATGTTGAGAACAAATGGGAACAAAAGTCGACCGTGTCCGAAGGACCTAGAGAAATGGGAAGTCTACCAAATGACTACCTTATGGAAATCGATGGACATGATCTTTTTTACCTTGTAACATGGCCAGTGATGGCATTCAAGAAATACAACCAGCACACAAATGAGTGGCACAACTGTGCAACACCTCAAGATGGTGAGCAGTTGGATGTCACTTTTGCAGTGTCCTGCAATCAGCGCATCTACCTCTTCACACATACAGAAATGCATTGGTACGACCCGAGGGAAGACCGGTGGTCCAAGAAAGCCCTATCAGACTACGGTCCTGAAGTGCGAGTTGACTACAGTCGGGGAGTCGCCATGGGAACAAAGATCTTCTGGACGGATGCTGGCTTCTTCAACATGTTGGAGTACGATACAGAAGCAGACAGCTGGTCTGAACATCCAGCCCCAGGGTTTGAGGACAATATTGAAGATGGAGATCTCTTTGTACTCCAAAACACACTCCATGCACTGGTCAACTATTGCCCGAGTGATGACGAGTCCAGCCTACCTCAACAGGTTTTAATTTATGACAGGCGTGAACGTATTTGGAGAGAGTTGCCTGAGCTGCCTTTTGGGCGTAGGTGTGTTTATGATTCTCTGAACGCTGAACGTATGTACCTACCATATCTGAACACCAGCCAAGCTGACACACAGGATGCAGCAAACCCAGGGGGACCACCTGGTGAATAGTTTTGGTAGTTCGCAAGCCATCAGAGCATGCGTGAGAACATGCTAGAACGTCATCGTTGATTAGATTAGGCAGACTTTGATGACATCTTTGTCTGAGTTGGTTTTATAATTCATTTCCATGAATTAGACAATAGGCACTGTGTTCAGGAGGGAATAGTAGTCTCTCCAGACCTGAGCATACCTGTTATACTTGTATTTAGTGTGCTTTCAGTGCAGGACTGTTCAATCAAAGGATAGATATCTCTGTGTTCTACAGTTTCCAGTTCTTGCTGAATGTCCCACATTGGATACATGTTTTTGCACCCAAACTAGCACTGTGGCTTTTATTGAAAAGTGATGCTTGCTTCTCAAAGTGACTAGATACATGTAGACACATGATCTTTGAGTTTGACCTCTCAAACAAACAATCTCTTACCTCATTACTTTGTTGTATATAGAATAGGATAGGTTAAGTTAGTAATCAGTTACAGGTTGTTGTATTTTATGTCTAGCAATAAGCAAGTGTACATCAGTGTTTAAGTCTGTAATGTGTTTTAAGACTCCAGGAAGAATAGTGGGTATAAGGGTATACTCACTAATGGAGATCATTCAAATAAACAAACAAAAACAAATACATGTATACAAATACAGCTTACCATGAGGCGTCTGTGAGACCACACATTATATTTTTAAAGAAATGTGTCCAATTATTGCCTTCATTGTATTGTTAGCATCTGTCCTTGTTATATTCACTATATTTAAGCCATATGTCAGTGAGGGGTAAAATACTATAATGTATGGGCAGTTAATATAGAAGGGCTGGAGCTTAAAGCTTTCTTCTGATTTGGAAAAGGACATTTCTGATCAAACTTTTTGAGCTTTTTTAGCTTATCCAATCCGTAGCATTAAAAATATACGTTTACACGTCGGGGTAGTTGTGTACAGTATAGCTAGAAAAGCCAAAAAAAGTTGGATCAGAAATGTCCCTTTCCAGTCAAGAGAAAGCTTCAAGCTCCAGCCTCTCGTGACCACCCCCATTCTGATAACAGGCAGTGCTCTTTAGCCTAATTTAAAAACTAATGATTGAGAATTGTAGATTGTGTACAGTATAGCTAGAAAAACTTTAAAAGTTTGATCAGAAATGTCCTTTTCCAATTTAGGAGAAAGCTTTAAGCTCCAGCCTCTCGTGACCGCCCTCCCTCTCCCATTCTGATAACAGGCTGACCATAATGTAATTTCCAAACTACTCAAAAATATTTGGCAAAGAAATTATGTCTCTGTGCGTTATAATAGTTATAGAGAGGACAGCGAGTAGGCAAAATGTGTTATAAGAGGACACGGCAGTGAATTTTAGATATTGCCCCTCCCCCGCATATGAAATGGTACAGTCCGCCTGTGGTGACCGCCTCTGGTGGCCTACGCCTCTAGCTCCCCTACTCGGACTTTATTTCATCAGGCACCTCATGTGTATAACAACCTATGATGTAGCGTTATCAATTACGAGGCAAAAGTCAAGAATCTTATGTACCTGTAACGCTTGTTTTATAAAACTATTACAATGTAGTTGGAAAATGAACACGGGGATAAACATACTACAAACTTCAGCCTCGTTCAATATAACCTTACTGTTAAAGAGACTAAAATAGATTTTTTAGCCAGGCTAAAGAAGTTCTGAGACTCTCCGAAATCATAACGGTTAGGAAAGTGCAGTTCAAAATAATACTGGCGATAAAAACCGTTGAATTGAAACCAATGACCTCCTTGAGTGAAACTCTCTCTCAAACATGTCAACTGGAAAAACGAATCGATAACCAATTTAATCTTCAGGCCTGCTGAATAGATCTGGGAATTTTTCCCCCCAGAAAATTGATATGGGACTCAAATGATGGGGGGGGGGGGTGAAATTTGGTAAAACAATATTATGTTTATCAATCAATTAATCAATCAATCAAATGGTTTATTTGTGAAAACCAGCAAGAACTTGTAGCCATTGGCTAAATTATGTCTTGCTGCACAATTTGCTTTCATAACATTTCTGGCATAAGAGATTAAAATTGATAAGTTATTCGATAAAATCAATATCATTACACACTAATTACCTAAAAATAACAGTTTAAAATTCAACATTAAAACAAACTATTACATACTAATATGAAATACTAACATTTACAGTATTATACACGGTAATACCATATTTATCAGTTAATAATATATAGTTAATTCACCCGGAACTGTACATATGGATTAGCCCAGCAGTCATGAACACGTTAAAATCCGGTAGGAAGGCCTTGTTCTGTGGTAACATGACCCTCGTGAGGGTACTCAGGTCACATCTCAGCCCGCCTTTGTCCCTTCAGTACGCCGGTTGGTGCTACTGTAGTGTGGCCTTGCGTAACGCCGGCTGAGGGCACACAGTCATCACAAGTGTGAGTCAGTTCCTGTGTGAGTCCCGCGGGAGGAGGCGGGCAAGGTTAGGGTTACCAGATATATCATACACCTCCGTCTGGAAAACTGCTCACACAGTCTGTATAACTAGCGACACCACGCAAGATGCCTGGAAAGAGAGAAAGAACAGTGTTTGGACTGAATTCGAAAGCTACTAGGATGTCTGTACTCAGCGGAACGGTATTCCTTCTACTCATCGGCGTCTCCACAGCGCAAACGACAGGTAAGAAACTATTTTCATTGTTGGCAAACTGCTGGGAGACATTCACGGCTACCTAAAAGCACGGTTTCCGTGTTAATAGTGTATACGTACTGTATATATGTACCGTTATAATATCAGGAAGGTAAAAGCAAGCCGTCCCAAATCGGTGGTGAATGAAAATGAGCAAAGCTACTTCGATCGGGCGAGATTTACATACACACACTCGCACCATTGTGCTCAATTCCCACGACTATATGGACTTCTTCTCACTTGTAATAAAACAATGGACGCGCTAGAATGTATTGTGATCAAGTTTGGCTTGACGTTAATGCTAGTAATACAGTAGTTAGTACAATAAGCAGGAGGGGGCGACGCGAGAAATGTGTTCGGCCCGGGTGTTCCCCTCACCCCAAACCGTACCCGTCAGTGCTCCGCTAGTCTGACTGTGTGTGGTACGGGGTTGCTAGGCGGCCAACTAAGGAATAAGAAACAATTCCTCCTAAAATTTCTAAACGACCATAATTTTTTCGGCGTTTTTCTGAATTAGGGCGTCGCCCCGTTGGCTTGGTTTGTTTTTAGCGGTAATACGCTGGGAGGGTAGCGGTAACCCTACACCTGTAAGCCGGTTGTGTGCCCGCTGTCTTCCCGCAGGTAACCGTGGAACAGGTACAACACCTGTACAACAACCGGATGTGTTTCCTAAACAAAACTTAACCATTTGTAATTTACTCAACCGAAAAATGCAGCGATTGTTTCTATTGATCTATCCGTATAATTACTATAATCTGTCTTGATGATGGAACAACCTACTTCTATAAGTAAATACAATGTGTATACAGTGTAATTACTGTAAAGGGGGTGAATTTCGTTAAGGCTTCTCGCACGGTTTGGAGACGATGCCATTGAGTTTAAATTAATGCCGATGTCGATTACTAGGGATCGTCTCGTTCGTTCTGGTTTGTTCATCAGAAAACCGAGGATACGTAGAACACTTCCCGTAGTTCCAAGAATCGGGTTCATATCGTGTACTGGTACTTTAAACGTCCTGTTTTCAACAAGTCCACACCGACCAACGCCTTGTAAGGCCACAGCAAGTAATTGTTATGGATGACATCAGCGCGCGCATTAATTTTCGACTGATTTTGGAAAAAAACAAGAAATTTTGTTGCCTTCTGACTAGTGGTCAACATGCCGAAATTTGGCAAAGATGTCTGTTGCCATGCCGAAAGGTGGATGGCAGATAACTATGAAGAAAGGGAACAAGAAAGGCTCTGATCTAATGTTTTGTTTCTTACTTTGATGCAGTGATATGTGATGCTGGCTGTGTATATGTAATGTTCCCACTGAATCAAAATCATTTGTACAATGATTGAGTAAAAATTTTAAAATGTATGAACCTTGTTTTTTCGGCCCGTCTTGTTTTTTTTTTATTTTTTTTATTTTTTCGCCCGCTCGCATTAGATATGGAGTCTGTGGAGGATGTCATCCATAAAATTATCTTACAGTGGCCTTAGGGAGATTTGCCAGTCAAAACAGCGGGAGTAGCTAAAAGTTCACAGACATTAACTACGTGTAAATATAGAAAAACGTGCACTTGTAGAAGTTATCATATATCCCGTTAAAATGTCACCTAAATCTGTGATACCGTAGACTGATTCCTGCCTCCAGGCTACATGGAAGCAGCGACATAGCCTAGAAAAGGCCACCTCGCCGGGCATCTTTTAATTCTCGTACATTCGTATATCACTGATGATAAGAAATGACATGGTTTGTAGTCATGCTGTATCGACACTCTAAATATGATTAGAGCTAATTTTTTCTAAACGTCCCTGAGTTTTTGAAAAGGCATTTGTATCTGCGATGGATATTTTCCACCTGACGCCCCACCCACACGCACGCACTAGGAGTATACTCAGGTAGCCTCCGTAGCAGGCTTATAGAACTGGGGGTTTGGTGGTCTTCGGCTGTTTTCTGATTACCCCAGTTCAAAAAACGGGGGTAATTCAACCAGGTCGGCTATGTGGCCTATATGCAATCAGAAAATAGCACATAAAAGACCCTGAAGACCCCCCAAACCCCCAGTTTTTGGCATGCTATGGAGGCTAACTTACAGGGAGGTAACAGTAGCTTTAGGTGGGCATTACCTGGAATCCGTGGGATCTACAGTAGTGACTGGGTATGTCACATACCGGCTTACAGGTACGGGAGGCGGGATCTTTGCCGGTATCTTATGTATCAACAAATATTGAGTCAAAAAATCTCTTTCATATACATTGGTTTCAGTAACACAAGGGGCCACCGTAGTTTAGATCGGAGATTATATGTAGAATTCTGAGTCACGTTTCAAACCGGTTTATACAATAAAGTAAAATATATTGAACAGTTTATATTACGGATTTGTAAAGGAAACGTAAAGATATGAAATATATTTACGTCGTATTTAAGCACACTGAAAGGTGGCGGAAAGGCGGAATTTGCCTTTCAGCAGCCTTTACGAAGTCAGACTAAGTTACGAAGTCGTAAAGTCTACTGAAATATTTTTTCACCTTTAATACTTATTTACAAGTTGCGGAAAGTTTGCTTAAATGTCTCTGTTTTCGTGCTGTGATAATCACAGCCCCCGTCCCTTTTATTTCGCAACCCAGGGTAGCTTTGGGCTTCCTTGTAATACAGTAATTTGTATGCAAACGCAATTAGTGCTCTCCGTGGTATTTGCGTCCGAATCATTTTTTGACAAGCTAAATGACAAGCAGGGGATCGCTTCATAACGTTGAAATCTTGATTCCATGCAATCTCCAAGCAGATCCCTTCGGTGGCAAAAAGACAGTATCAAATTGGCCAGGCAGTATCCATTAGCCAGAGAAGGTCGCCAGC